CCGCGCACCCCCCCCTCCCCGCCATAAAGCCATCCTTTTTAGCTTTAAATATTTATTGGTGTTGCCGGGGCCGTGTGTGTGCCGTGCAAAAGGCAGTTTGTCTTGGAGGGGACAGAGCGAGCTGCAGAAATAATGGGCAGCCCCTTCTTCTCCTCTATTTACCGGATGGAGGTTGTGCTGCCCCCGTGTAGGTAGAGAGAGAGATTCTGAAAGAAACTGTTTATGGGAGGCGCCTCCAAGCTTGGTTTGGGTTCTGTTGGACTGCAAAAACCTTCATTTGCCACCCCCTCACCCCAATATCCCAGACACTGCAATTAAGGGGAGCGTGTTGCCTCCAGAAAACGGCAGCACATCATTCCCGCTGCAATTAAAAGCCCCGCTCTTAATACGGTGGCACCTCGGCCGGAGTCGGGATGGAGGGAGGGATGGAGGGATGGAGAGAGGGAGGGATGGATGGATGGAGGGATGGAGGGAGGGAGGGATGGATGGAGAGAGGGAGGGAGGGGTGGATGGATACTGGGGGGGACCACGTTCGCCTGTGTCACCTCCCGAAAAACATCACCCGCGGAGGGGGGCGGTGTGCTCCGCGCCTTGGGGGAAGGCTCTTTGGGGACCCCGGCGTAGCTCTGCCGGGGGTCTCCGGGACGCTGCCGCGGCTCAGGGCAGCGCAACTCCGCGGAAGGCCCGCGCAGCGTTCCGCGGGAGCGGGGGACGCGCCGGGACAGGCTGCGCCCCCCGCACATGTGTCTCAGTCCCGCCGGGCGGCCGCGCTGCCCTCCGTCGCCAGCGCGCTCCGTCTCAGGGTATTAATGTCAATTAACATTTAATAAATATCCATTTCCCTCGCGAGGGAGCGGTCCCGGCTGCAGGGACCCCACCGCCACCGGGCTGGGCGCTCCGGGCCGGGCTCCCCCCTCTCGGAGCATCCCGTGTGTCCCTGCACACGCGTGGTGGTGTTTACACTCGTGTAATCCTGAGAAGGGGCGGGGGGGGAGGAGGGGGGGGCAGAAAAGG